TGTGTGCCTCTCTCCAGAGCAGAGGCCGCTCCCTCCCGCCGCGTCGCAACACAATAACAACAACCAACCGATGCACCCACAGAGACCCAATCAATATCTCTCCTCTCGCTTCCTGCGCCAAAAGCTAACAGCAGCAGTAGTATAAGGCACACCCTGCTCCCGTCCCGCTCTCGCTGTNATCAGCGATGAACCCAGACCAGCCAAACGTTCCCCGCTTCCTCCGCCGTCGCTGACAGCAGTATGTGTGTGTGTCCCGCCCCCCTTGTCCATGTTCCCTGTCTCTGTGTAGTGCGTGTCTTGCCAGTAGCAGCAGCAGTGTGTGCAGCACGGCGGCAGTGCGTCGTGGTTTCTTCTTGCGTGCGTGTAGCGTGTAGTTTGTTGCCCAGAGAAAAACAAAAATGACGACGCCTCCCGGGGATGCGTCCATGTGACATATATATTTGCACAAACGGTGTGCTATCTCGAGACACCGACCACGGATTGCAAAGGGTAGCGGTTGGGACAGCTCGGGCAAAATGTTACTTTTGTGCGCAAGTTTTAGTTGGCAATTTGGTGCCGAGATGGTGAAATGGGCTCGAGTCTGCTGGGTTATTTAGGTCGCGCAGACAGACACCAGACAGACACCAGACAGGCAGACACCAGAGAGCCATTGCCACATTTTCACGCCCCTGGGCATGAAAATTATCGTGCGCACATCCTCTCCCTTCTTCCCCTCGCTCCTCGACAAGCTTGTGCTTAGACATGGGTGTGAAATGGGCTGGAATCTGCTGGGTAATATATCGAGGCTGGTCACAGACGGGCTTACTGGAGCCCGTTCCCCCCTCCTCTAAACAAAAATACTAGAGTTGGAGGTGGAATAGTTTTTTGTGGTGGTTGCACAAAAGTACCTGCAGTAGGCTCGTGCGTCTGTTACAGAAGAACGGGGGGCGGTCCATCATCACCAGCTAGAGAGGGGGGTGGTATCCATCATCATTCACCAGAGGGGGTGGTGGTGTCCATCATGAGCTAGCGAGGGGCGTGGTATCCGTCGTCAGCCGTGAGGGGGGGGTGCTATCCATCGTCACCAGCTAGAGAGGGAGGG